CTCCACAGTGACAGGAGGTGGCTGCCCTCCGCTGAGGAAGCCAGCGGCCAAGTGGGCAGCCAGCTGCAGACCTCAGGCATCAGCACTGTCAAGAAAAGGAGTATCAAGAAAGGATTTGGCCACAATATATTTTACTAAGACATAAAATCGGGTGGGAGAAGGGTCTTTGGCACATAGCTATACACGATTACCCTCGGCCCCCAGCCAGCTCCCTGTCCGAATGCTAAAACGCCAGGAAGTTTGGTGCCCCTCTGAGGATCTTTATTTGCTAGTGATTGGCGCTCACAGAATTTCAGAGATTTGGCATCAAAGATTATAAAATCTGTGGGTCTGAAAATCTGTGCTAAGAACTGTTTTTTTGTGATTTTGCTCAATCTCAGTTTCTCTTGAAAAATTCTGTTATTTCCACTTCTGGCCACTATGACTAAGCACAGAGGTAGAAACACAGTCTAAACAGTTAAAGGATCCTGTAACTGCCCAAAGCAGAGAAAGAAAGCAAATGTCAGCACTGGCGGGGTGCAGTGTGTGAGGGAGGGCTCTCACTCTGCCCGTCCACTTCCCCCAGACCCAATCTGTCAGCAAGACTTGCCAGTTTCCAAACATGTCTTGACTCAACCACTTCTCTCCGTCTTTACTACAGTCATGTAACTTATTCATTCAACACGTATACACTGAAGGTCTTCTGTGTTCCAGGCATTGTTCTAGTGGCTGGGAGTACAAGACTGACAATGGAATGTGAATGCATGTCCTAGTGACTCTTCTTGCTGGGGCCTCCCTCTGTACGACCCTTCTCGCTGACTGGCTCCGGCTTCCTCATTTGCCCTCTCCTTCCATTCTCCACATAGGAGCCTAAAAGATCTTCTTAAATATCAACACTTCCCCATTTGAAACCCTCCAATGACTTCCCATTGCTCCTTAATGAAAATACCGAGGCTTCCTGGGCCCTGGCCCTGTTCGAGGGCTGCGCACCTCCCTACATTTACAGCCTCTTCTCACACCCTAGGCTCACTCCCCAGTCACACTGGCCTCCTTTCAGATCCTCAAGTATGTTACGGCTTTTTCTCTTTTCAGAGCTTTCAATCTGCCTTTATTTCCTCCTAAAACAGTTGCTTTCAACTTGTTTTTTTGACAATACTCCCCTGTAAGAAATATTTTATACCATGAACCAGTAGATACATCAACCTATAAATAAAGGCAACATTAGTTTTACATGATAATACTTCTGGTATGTTCTGTCCTTTTTTTAAAACGCTAGCCATGACCCACTAACCTGCAGTTTGAAAACACTCCTCCCTCTGCTCTTTGAATGGCTGAATCGTTCTCATCAACTTTCTATCTAAATGTTAGCTACCCATGGGGGGCTTCTCTGGCCACCGGATGCAACCCAGGTCCCTGACTTAGGTTATTTTTCATCTGAGGGCCATGTCCCTTCCCTTTGAAGCACGTATCAAAGTTATAATTACGTATTTCTTTGTTGAGACTTGCTCATTGTCTGTCTCGTAGGCCACATCACTAGCTTTTAAAGGCAGGGACTTGTATGCTCTGTTCCCCACTGTATATCCCACATCTGGTTCAATGATCAGCATGAGAGAAGAATATACCTAGGTATTCCTTGACAGGCTGACTGAGTGGGTGGGTAAGTGATGCTGAGGTCTGGACTGAAAAACAGGCCTCCCCAATAAAAGGGACCGGGGTTCCTTGGAGAAATGGCTGATTCTAAGGCTGGGGCAGGAAATATACAGTAGTGCCAGAAAGTAAAGAAACACTCAAAAAACAAAAGGATGGGGCATGTCAAAGGGACACAGGAGCCAACCTAAAAAGAACTCCCAATGGCCAAAATCGGAACAATTTGAGCAGCAAAATAAATAGCCTAGTATCAGATTCTAACCCAAATCTTTACATAAATATGCATGAGAGTCCACACTGATATAAGTGGTTGACTAAATAAATAAATGAAGAGGGGGAGAGTTACATCTTTCTTACAGAAGAATTTAAATGATGTACGTAAATACTACCCTCCAGGAGGTGGAGCTTAATTCTCCCCACCCCCTACCCCCTTGAGGGGAGGGGGAAGGCACTTAGTGACTTGATTCCAAGCAACAGAGTAGGTAAAAGGGGAACAGGATCACCTTCGGTGAGGAAAGCTGGCAAACTGTACCTTGGCCAGGTGTTCAAGATTGATTATACTGTCCCGTCATGTGGATGGCACGTACCCCCGACAAGATGTGAGAAGGGCACTTCTCCTCTAGCCCACAACCCCAGTGCAACCATAAAAAAAGCATCAGGGAAACCCAACTAGAGGGGCAGTCTACAAAATACCTAACTAGAGCTTTTCAAATCTGTCAAAACTCCATGAGAAACAAGACTAGAAACTATCACAGACCAGAGGGATTAAGGAGACACACAACCACTTGTGGTGTGGCATCCTAGATGAGACCCTGGAACCGAAAAAGGATATCAGTGGAAAAGCTAAGGAAATCTGAGTAAGATATACACTTTAGTTAATAACAACGTATCAGTATTGGTTCATTAATTGTGACAAATATACCATTGTAATGTCAGGTGCTAATGACAGGAGGAGCTGGCTGAGGGGTGTACGGGAACTCTGTACATTATCTTTGCAACTATTCTGTGAATAAAAAAACGTTTTAAAATTAAAAGCTTACTTTAAAAAAAGTTCAGCCTTAATGCCAAGAGCCGGGCCTTCATTCAGTCAGTCACTTTTATGGAGTGCCCACAAAGAGCTTCCAACCCTGCTGGGCACAAAGAAGACACTTAGACACATGGGAGATGAACAGATGCATATACACAGGCAGGGCGTCCGGGGTGACGAAACGAAGAGCAGAGAATGCAGGTTTGCAGGTTGACTAGAGAGGGTAGGCGTGTGTGTGTGTGTGGGGGGGGGGGGGGGGGGTGGGTGGAGGCGTGGGGCGGAGGTGGTAATGAGAGAAAGCAATGACCAGAATGAGGAAGAAAGACAAAGACTGGCTGGCTTTGGTGAGGTGGAGCCAGCTATTCCCCACTGGAATGTAAACTCCCCGAAAGCAGGAACCTTGTCTCTCTTCTCATACCCCTAGGAGCAGAACTGTGCCTGGAACACAGTAAATGTTCATAAATGTGTATTGAATAGATGAGAGACTAGATAAACAGACAAGTCCTGCTGGAACTCCACTTGAACTCCAGAACCACTACTGTCATGTGAGGTCTCCCAGGTGCCCACTGGATTTGCATTTTGTGCATGGTGATGATTGTTCTGCATCAGAGGTCTTCTGGAAAGCATGCAGATGTTAGCATTGGTTTGGAATGGTCCTAATGTTCACCCACAGGCATGGAAGTGCCTTGGAGCATTCCTTGATGGTATTAACCAGTAGGTCTGCTGATACGAAGGAGTGAATGGCATCTCCTCTTTGCTCTGTTCTAGCGTCCCGTTAAACCCAGCAGGGGCTCCTAGAATTGTAAGAATGGAGAGTTAGCAGGGGTTTCAAGCTTTTGATACGGTCTCTACAAATATAAGGAAACAGTTTAGAGGGATGTTGAATTTCCCTGTAGGCATCTACTGACATTCCTCCTTAATGGTCCTAAATGCTCAATATATTCAGTTGCATGTAACTTTCTCTATGAAGAAAAATTCAAATTTGGGGGAAATTATGGAAAAATCATATCCAATTATGTAGCTATTAAGAATAGTGCAGACTATATGTATTAATATGAAATATTAAACATACAAAGTAAAGCTGTTTTCTGAAATAGACACAAGATACTGGTTGACAAAGGGGAGTTCTGTGAAGACAGCATGGGACGGAGGAGACTTTCACCGTACACGCTTGGAACCTTTTGTATTTTGCACGTGTACAAAGTATTACAAATGAAGAAAACTTAAAAAAATTATTTATTTATTTGGCTGAGTCAGGTCTTAGTTGCAGCACGTGGGATCTTTGTTGCAGCATGTGGGATCTTTCGCTGCAGCTCGCAGGCTTCTCTCTAGTTGTGGTGCGCGGGCTCCAGAGCACGCGGGCTCAGTAGTTGTGGCGTGTGGGCTCTCTAGTTGTGGTGTGCGGGCTCTAGAGCATGCAGGCTCAGTAGTTGTGGCGCGCGGGCTCACTTGCCCGCAGCATGTGGGATCGTAGTTCCCTGACCAAGGATCAAACCCATGTCCCCTGCATTGGAAGGCAGATTCTTAACTACTGGACCACCAGGGAAGTCCCGAAACTTTTAAAAATGATTCCAGAGGAAGAAAATTTTGAATTTTGTCTTCAGGTTATAATAATCTCCTTTTCTGATCTATGCTTGATTACCTTTGAGCCTCTGCTTTCTGCAGGATCTGACCCATGTCGGGTGACAGGCAGGCTATTCCACCTGTCTAGTCCTGGCTTTTAACATCATCTCAAATAAACTTTTACATGAAGTGACAGAAGTATGCTGATGGGATTGAAAGAGGAAGACATTCATCATAGTTTATGCGTTCAAAACTAGGAATTAATAATAAAAAAATAAGTCCTATAGTTATTTTGTAAACAGCATGCTTACATTATATTGCAGTTTTCTGTTAAAAAGCATTACGCTGGCTTTTTGGTTCTCTGAGCAGCACCACGGTGGTTGGCAAGAACAAGCACCTTACGAAAGTGGCAAAAAGGGAGCCAAGAAGAAAGTGGTTGACTCATTTTCTAAGAAAGATTGGTATGATGTGAAAGCACTAGCTATGTGTCAATATAAGAAATATTGGGAAAACACTAGTCACAAAAACTCAAGAAATCAAAATCACATCTGATGACCTTACGAATTCTGTTGTTTTTTTTTTTTTTTGCATTACGCGGGCCTCTCACTGCTGTGGCCTCTCCCGTTGTGGAGCACAGGCTCCGGACGCGCAGGCTCAGCGGCCATGGCTCACGGGCCCAGCCGCTCCGCGGCATGTGGGATCTTCCCGGACCAGGGCACGAACCCGTGTCCCCTGCATCGGCAGGCGGACTCTCAACCACTGCGCCACCAGGGAAGCCCCCGGATTCTGTTTTTGAAGTGAGCCTTGCTGATCTGCAGAATGATGAAGCTGCATTTAGAAAATTCAAGCTAATTACTGAAGATGTTCAGGGCAAAAAATTGCCTGACTGATTTCCATGGCATGGATCTTACCTGTGAGAAAATGTGCTCCATGATCAAAAAATGGCAGACCATGGTTGAAGCTCACATTGGTGTCAAGACTACCCATGGTTATTTGCTTCGTCTATTCTGTGTGGGTTTTACTAAAAAATGTAACAGTCAGATTCGGAAGACCTCTTATGCCCAGCACCAACAGGTCTGCCAAATCCGGAAGAAGATGATGGAAACCATGACCCAAGAGGTGAAGACAAATGACTTGAAAGAAGTGGTCAATAAATTGATTCCAGACAGCATTGGAAAAGACATAGAAAAGGCTTGCCAGTCTACTTATCTGCTCTATGATGTCTTTGTTAGGAAAGTAAAAATGCTGAAGAAGCCCAAGTTTGAATTGGGAAAACTCATGGAGTGTCACATGGTGAAGGTAGTAGTTCTGGAAAAGCTTCTGTGGATGAGACAGGTGCTAAAGTCGAACGAGCTGGTGGATATGAGCCAGTAGTACAAGAATCTGTTTAAAATTTACACTTTTAATGATGACAAATAAAAGATCTTATTCGTGAAAAAAAGCATTACTTTGCTAAATGTTAACATTTAAAAAGTATATCTAGACCATTAATAATGAATCATACTAATACCCTAAAAACACTTGTAGAAAAGATTGAGAAGTCCCTTTGAATCAACAAACAGTATATCCCTCAAAAAAATAACTGATCAATAATTCACTATAGGGCTTCCCTGGTGGTGCAGTGGTTAAGAATCCTCCTGCCGGGCTTCCCTGGTGGCGCAGTGGTTGAGAGTTCGCCTGCCGAGGCAGGGGACGCGGGTTCGTGTCCCGGTCCGGGAAGATCCCACATGCCGCGGAGCGGCTGGGCCCGTGAGCCATGGCCGCTGAGCCTGCGCGTCCGGAGCCTGTGCTCCGCAACGGGAGAGGCCACAACAGTGAGAGGCCCGCGTACCGCACAAAAAAAAAAAAAAAAAAAAAGAATCCACCTGCCAATGCAGGAGACATGGGTTCGATCCCTGGTCCAGGAAGATCCCACATGCCGCGGGGCAACTAAGCCCATGCGCCACAACTACTGAGCCTGCGCTCTAGAGCCCGTGAGCCACAACTCCTGAAGCCCGTGCACCTAGAGCCTGTGCTCCACAACAAGAGAAGCCGCCACAATGAGAAGCCCACGCACCGCAATGAACAGTAGCCCCTGCTCGCTGCAACCAGAGAAAAGCCCGCGTGCAGCAACGAAGACCCAACACAGCCAAAAATAAAATAAATAAAATAAAATAAAATTTAAATAATAATAATTCACTACAGATAAATATTTCATCAAGATCACATTCTGCTTTTAAGCAATTTCGTTTTCTAATATTCCAAAACAATATGGTTTCAAATTCTGAAGACAACTCCTTTCTTAGTACTGAGAAAATTAATGTTTGAGATACACATGAGCATTTTGAGTTCTTTAAAACTAGAACACATTTGTGATAAGATGTATTTCAACCTTATTTCAGCTAACTTCAGAAGAAAGGGTGTTCAGTATTTCTCGCATAAATTCCATTACAAGGTTAGGCCAATGTAAAACATTTACATTCAGCTGCCATTGCAAAAAAAAAAAAAGCGTCCTGGAAGCAAAGATGGAAGGTCTAAGACAGCAGCAACCGCATCCCTGGGGTGTTTGTTGGAAATGCAGAACATCAGGCCCTGTCCCACCTCCTCTTCACAATCTGCATTTAAACAGGCAGTGATTCCCATGCTTGTCACAGTTTGAAAAGCTGCTGGGCTAAGAAACCTTAATCATGTTCAAATTCAGGTTATACTCTTTAGTGAACACTGGATATAATCTTTACTAATAAGGACAATGTGACTTTTTTATTTTTTGAGACCAGAGAGTCACACTTAACAGAAATGACTGTAATTAATAATCACTGGTCCCACCCTCCTCCTCTTACTTGTGAAACATCCTTCCTCTTTTCTGAGTCCACCCCCTCCACTTGCTCCAAGACCATCTATCACTCCTTCCTCCAGGATGACCACTGTCATTTTCCACTGATTCCTCCCCTTTCACCTATGAACACACTGAGGTCTCCCTTATGCATAAAACACACACACACACGCACATGCACACGCACACACACAGACATTTTCTCTCCACCATGTTAACAGCTCAGCTACACCCTTTTTTTCCCCCATCACTAAATTTCTCAAGATTAGTCTGCACGCAACCTGACAGCTATCAGACCCGAATTAGCTCTCTTGAAGGTCCCAAGTATTTAACTGCCAAATCCAAAGGCCCGGTCCCTGTGACTTCCCTAGATCCCTCTGCAGGTTATGAATTCTTTCTCTGGCTCTATTGTCTCTGGCCCTTCTTCCTCTTTTTGCCACCCAAGCAGGGGCATTCCCCTCAGCTTAGCCCAGGGTCTTCTCTTTCCACTCCATACCTTTGCTGTGTTCTTCCCTTCCTCCACTTGCTCCTGCTTCAAAGGTCACCTCCACGCAGAAAACTTCCCAGACAGTATCTTCAGTCCTGGCCTCCCTCTAGAACTCTAATAGCCTCTTATTGTTTTCACTCATTTAATATTTATTGAGGGCCTATGACATGCTATTGCACTGTGCTAGGCATTGGTGAACAAAGAAGACTCACCCCTGCCCTCATGGTACTTACAGCCTATCAGGTACCACAGATGTGGATCAATGAATACAAGGGAGATAAATACTGAGGAAAAGTAAAGAGTGAGCTAGGGGAGAGAATACCCAAATCTAGCTGGAAAGCAGGGTTTCCAGTTAAAATACAAGATGTCCGGTTAAAGGTAAATTTCAGATAAACAACTAAATTTTTTTAGTAGAAGTATGCCCCAAATATTGCAAGGGATATACTTATACTAAAAAATTAGTTCTTGTTTATCTGAAATTCAACTTTAACTGGGCATCTTGTATTTTAATCTGCTACATCAGCAACCCTACCAAGAAGGGATTGTGCAGTTACAGAGGAAAGTCCTGAGGAACCGAGAGAAAGGATAAGTAGGAATTAGCAAGCAAAAGCGGGTGGTGGGAGAGGACATTCCAGAGAGAAAGAATAGTCGAGGCAAGAGTTTGTATTAATAGAGAGCTTCATGCTTTGAGAATCTGAAAGACGTACAGTATGGTTGGATCATGAAGAAGAGGAAGAGTAATGGGGAATAAATCTATTGGGGAGAAGCCAGATCTTGCAAAGCCTGTGTATAGTACGGATTTTGGAGTTCCCTAAAGACAACAGGAAGCCATTTCAAGATTTCAAGCAGAGGAGAAAATGGACCTAAAATGGTTCTGTACCAACGTCAACATCCGGGGAGGGGGATGTTCCCCACACCACCAATAAGCGATTTTCTAGATACCAGCAGAGAATCCTACAATTCAACTCAATTCTGACACATCTGCCCAGAAATAGCATCACCTTCCAGAACTAAGGGTTTAGTCCCACAAGACTGCCTCCTCCCTCCGGCCACACCTCAGACACCAATCGCCAACCCACGCTGCTGCCTGGCCTTCGACCAAGAGCTGTAGACCAGGGGTTCCCACAACTCCCGCTTCTTTTCACTTAATTCGCTAGAACACCTCACAAAACTCAGAGTAACATTTTGTTTTCTAGTTTATTATAAAAGGATATAAACCAGGAACCACCAGATAAAAGAAGTGCATAGGGCAAGGTATGTGGGAAGAGGCGCCATTCTCTCCAAATGTCCATGAATTCACCCACGAGGAAGCTTGAGGAAGCTTTTGGGTTTTTACAGAGGCTTCGTTAACTAGGCATAACTGATTAAGTCATTGACCAATGGTGACTGATTCAAGCTCCGGCCTCTCTTCTCCTCCCTGGAGGTCAAGGCGGGGTAGGACTGAAAGTTCCAAACCTCTAGTCACATGACTGGTTCTCCCAGCAACCAGCCCCCATCTTTAGGTGTGGTTCAAAAGTCATCAATAACATAACGAAAGATATGGTGATTGCTCTCATCACTAGGAAATTCCCAGTTTTAGGAGCTCTGGGCCGGAAAGGACAAAAAGACCAAATATGTATTTCTTATTATAAATCACAATATCATAAGACCTGAGCTGAAGCTTTAAATGATCTTTCTGGCTGCCAGATGGAGAAAAGAATTGCAGGGCCAGGAGTGGATGCAGGAACTCCATTTTTGAGATTACTGTGATAGTCAAGAGATGTTAGTGACTCGATCATGGCAGCCTTTCTCTCATTGGTCTTCCAGACTCAGCCTATACTAAACCTCTCTACAAGATGTTACCAGAGTCATCATCTCAAAAAGTTACTCTAAACATATGATCTAACCACTAAAAATATTCAGTGGCTCTCATTGCACACCAAATAAAATCTCATCTCCTTAGCCTGGTACTCAAGGCTTTCTATAATCTTCTGAGAACAGACCTTTCCTGTCATATCTTTCCTTCTCTCCTGCAAGTGACTTAGCCCAATTGGACAATCTTTTCTCTGAGGTTTTATTCATATACCTCTCTCTGTATGAATATCTATATCTGTATCTCACTTTTCTTCCCTCTTTTCCAAATTTCTTGAAAAAAGAATTTCCCTTCAAGTTCCAGCTCAAAAGCCTTCTTCAATGAGGCTTTTCCTAACCTACTCAAATAGAAGCTTTAGAAACTTACGCATTCAACAAATATTCAATAAGGCCCTGCAATATGTCAGGCATCGTTAGAGGTCAGAGGATGAAGAGAAGAATGTCCCTGCCCTCATGGAGCTTACACTCTGTTGTGAGACCAAAGGTAAGCTAAGGCAATTGCAGAAAGTGGTTGAGAGTGTGGACCTGGCCCGTTCCACCTGGGTTTAAATCCTAGATCTATTACCCACCTCATGATGCTAGTATAGTAACTTAATTTTCCTGTGCCTCAGTTTCCCCATGGGGATAATATCAGTAACTATCTCATACAGCTCTGAAACTAAATGAGTTAATACCTGAAAAGCACTTAAAAGTGCCTGGAACACTGTAGTAAACACTCAATAACTGTTAGCTACATAGCCATGCAGAATCCCCAGAGGGAGAACCATCTTGGTGTATTTAAAGGACAAGGTGGGGAAGGAGGCCAGTATAGACATAATAAAGTAGTGGAGGCAGAGAGTGATGAGGTCAGAAGCAGGGATCAGATCAAGCAGAACTTGGTAACTTTAGATCTATTTTGGTGGGCTGGAAAGACACTGGAATGTTTTCATCAAAGAACTGCCATGACGTCACATGTTTTAAGGAGAGGCCAGATAAGAGGCTACTGTTAAGTAGTCCAGGGGAGACAATGATTGCTGAGACTTTGGTGGAAACAGTGGAGGTGGTAAAAAAAATATATTCAGGGTATATTTTAAGGTAGACTCATTAGGACTCGTTGATGGACTAGACATGGATGTGGAGAAAGAAATTAAAGATGACTAGGTTAGGGGACTTCCCTGGTGGCGCACTGGTTAAGAATCCAGCTGCCGGGCTTCCCTGGTGGCGCAGTGGTTGAGAGTCCGCCTGCCGATGCAGGGCACACGGATTCGTGCCCCGGTCCGGGAAGATCCCACATGCCGTGGAGCGGCTGGGCCCATGAGGCATGGCCGCTGAGCCTGCGCGTCCGGAGCCTGTGCTCCGCAACGGGAGAGGCCACAACAGTGAGAGGCCCACGTACCGCAAAAAAAAAAAAAAAAAAATCCACCTGCCAATGCAGGGG